CATTTCCCATGACGTGCGAATATTTGTAAAGTAACAGTTTAAATTTTGAATGTTTTAGTCATATTCAAAATTCCTCATTTTCTAATACCTAAATCATGCCTAAAATTTCATGTTATAGGTTTTAAAGATTGGTTTCTAAAAATGGAAATTTCACCACGATCGGTCAATAAACGTGATAAGTTTTATTGATCTCATGCGAATCGTAAAAATGGAAAACTTCGTGAAACGTTCATTTATTGAACAGATCTATAGAAACTGACTTCATTTGTTGCAAAATACAAAAATGTCACGAAAACTGCACTTCACCTATAAAACGCATTTTGACTTTTGTCGATGGAGCCATTTTATTTAACAATGATTTCGCGCGCGCAACTAACATTTAAAATCGCCTGTCGCTTCAAGCGTCTTTCTGGGAGAACGATTGCGAAGTGCATACATTTTTGTTCAAAATTATCTCAGCTTCATGTTTTAATTGAATTTTTTTTTCTACTGCGTATAGATTCTTAGTAAATCGCTTTTTTGCGTTTTTACCCCACTACAAGGGAGGTTTTAGGGGGAAGCCCGGAGGTAAAAGTGGTAAACTTTTTTGAATCTTCTTTGGGGTCCCAAAATTGATATTCTGGCTCGGCTTTAACTTTGGCTGTGACAATAACTAATCTGTTGACATCAGCTACAATAATTTTATTCATCGGCTCTACCTCGATAGCAGTTAATTAATTTTCCTATAGCTTCTATTATATATATATATATATATATATATATATATATATATATATATATATATATATTCGATTTTATATTTTCATTATTCATGTTCAAACGTATATTTTTAAATTTTTTCAAAAGGGCCGGTAATTGTCATTAACAAATAATTTATCACAAAGAAATAATTTCTCAAATCTTTAATTAAAATATTTTTAAAATAAATAGTTTTTCGCTCTTGATAATTTTTCCAAAAATGCCTCCTTTTCAAGTCAAGTCCTAAAGTTCCTTTATTTGCAATAATTTGTTTAAAAAAATGCCATAATTAGTGATTTTTGAGATTTTTTTTAAACTACTTTAAAGCTTTATAAAATCCTGAAACCATTATGTAAAAGTAAGAAGATTTTGACGGGATAAGTGGTTTATATCTTTCTAAAAACATAGTTTTAAATTTAAACAACGATATCTACGTTTCACGCGACTGTATCAGTGCAACCGTACACGCTTAGCGATACATTGTTAGACATTGCTAGTTCCATGTTTTCAACAAGATATAATCCATTTATATTTCTTAAAATATTCTTACTTATATTTTGGTGGAACCGAAATTTATTGATTTGTTTTTAAGAAGAAAAAAAATCCTAAAAATCATCAATTAGGGCATTTTTTTCAACATAAAATTGGAAACAATTCGAAATGGAAGCGTTTTTCGAATAATTATTAAGATACAAAAAGTATTTATATCTATGAAATAAATACGTCTAAAAAAAATTTACTTGAAGCGATTCTGAAAATTGTTTTGTTTTTTTGTTATAAGTTATGTGTTAATAAAAATTTCTGGCCCATTTGAAAAACAAAAAAAAAATTAATACTGCTTATAGAAATATATATTGCATAGAAGAAGAATAGCATTGTTTCCGTCTAATACAAAGAGGATGTTCATTTGCTTAGCACCTAGGTTTTCTACGGAACTAAATCGAAAGGCGCCTATGCAAATACGGAGATCTGAGTTATGTATCAAAAGATTAAGATGTGTTGTAAAAGCTGAGGTGTAGATGTAAGAACCATAGTCCAATTGGGAACGAATAAAGGATCTGTACGTCTTAATAAGGGCTCAATAACAAGAGCCAAAATAAAAAACACTTAAATAGAATAGTGGTGTGTACAAACTTCAATGTGGCGACTGCCCAAAAACTTACATCGGTCAAACTGGGAGAAACTTTGATAAACGAATATCAGAACATAAAAGGGCTTTCAAGAATAGAAAAACAGATTCGACATACGCACTTCACCTTCTAGATGATCATTCTGAGATAATCATTCTTTTAATGACAAATTTAAAATTTTTCACATTCAAAATAAAGGCCTTAAGCTATCTTTGTTAGAATCTATGGAAATTAACAAATTAAAAAACACAGATATAATTCTCAATGACCAACTTGAGACAAACAGTTCTCCCCTCCTCAACCTAATTCATTAGAGACTATAAATTTGTAAACCCAAGTCAAAAATAGATTACTTGAGAAAAGCAATCAGGCAAAAGCAAACACCTGTAGTGATAAGATTTAAAATAAATTTTGTGGAAGTTTGAAAACAAAGTTTTCAGTGTTTTATTTGTAAGAGTTGTTTTCTCTTTTCAGTGTAAGAGGCAGGAAAGAGAACTGCATAGAATAGGCAAGGAAAGAGAACTTTTTAACACAGTAAAAGTTAGAAAAACATCATACCTACGCCACATACTGAGAAATAATAAGTACCAATATGCCCAACTTATAGTGAAAGGAAAAATCGAGGGAAAGAGGGGCCTAGAAAGGAAAAGACTATCGTGGCTCAGAAACGTCCGACAATGGACAGGGCTAAACTTTGAACACCTAATAAGAACAGCTGAAGATAGAGAAGAGTTTAAAATTGTAGTAGCCAACCTCCATTAAGGAGAGGGCACTTTAAGAAGAAGATTGTTACATAAAATGAATTTCCATCAAGTAACGGTGAAATCCATCAATTATTCTTAATACGGGAATTTTCATCTGCACTCCAATGATAGTGCGAAAGAGTTTGATCGTGAGTTTTAAATTTCAACTATACAACAGTATACAAGTTTCAACTATACAAGTTTAACTTAAATATATTTTAGAAATACCTCCTGATGGTCAAACTCGTTAACTGTTGGTATCATCGGAAAACTTTTAAACAATATTATATACTATAAGAGGCTTACAGATAAAACTGCTATGCGTTTCACGTGATATTTATCGAAATGGTAGCTTGGCCAATAATCCAAGATATTATAGACACATTTAAAGGAATTGTACAGCAAAATACTGTGAATATGATAAATATAACCGTAAATGAAGGATGGTGAGAAAAACGAGAAAAGAATAGAAATATTTACTTGTTGTAAATGTAGTTCCGTTGACCTACTTACAGCCCAGACATTAAAAATACAAATTGCTATGATTATTATGGCACCTTCGTAGAGGGAAATGGCACAGAAAAGAAAAAGAAAAACAAGGAAGGATGAGTTGTGGAAGGAGGCATATTTTCTGATAGAACAATTCGACAACTTGAGTACTATAAATGTGATCTGTTTAAATCACCGTCATTAATGATGCCCACTTTGGGACACAAGTTGGACACAAATTAGTGCAAAAGTCGTTACTCCAATGTTTTTGGGTTAGCTGAATACGAATATCATGTCGGTAATGGTCTTTGAGATACCCGGTGCACAGGGGTGACTCGTCTCCCGGAATTTTATATAAATTTGATACAAAATCAGTTCGTCCTGGGCACCAGTTGTATTGAAGACCATCGCCGTAGTAATATTCGTGTTCATTGACACCAAAAACCACTCGAATAATGAATTTCCTCTGATTTTGTATTGAATTTTCACAAAACTCCAGGAGACGAGATCCGTGCTGGGCACCAAGTGACTCGGAGACCATCGACATCATGGTATTCGGGGTCCGCGAAAAATCCCAGATTAACGACCACAGCAATCATAATATTCGTGTTCAGCTACCCCAAAAACGAATGACTTTCTTCTGATTTCGTATCAAATGTCCATAAAACTCCAGACGATGCCCATTTTTGGACACAAGGTGTCTCGCAGACTCTCGCCGTTATAATATTCGTGTTCAGACACTTCAAAAACCACTGAGTAGTTATATTGAACTTATTTCAGTCAATTATTTCCGAATTACAAATTTATTATTTTTCATCTATTCGAAATGTACTCAGGAAAATACATTTTCCTTGTTAAATAATGCAGTTTTCATTTCGACATCACCACTTTACACAATTTCACAAAATCTAATGCAACAAGTTTCATTGAGATTTGTCGAACTGCAAAGAATTCGTAGCTTTTGAGCTTTTTACTGATTGATTGCCTCACCTAATTGATAAGGTAATGTTTAAACCTGTACAGACCAGAAATGTTAGGTGGTAATGTGTATTGATCGTCATAAATGAAACATTCAAACTTAAATCGTTTAATTATTATTTCAATACCAGCTCTAAAATTCCTTTTGGAGTTTTCATCGATGGATCCATTTTCATCCCTATCTAAGAACATACCTGATGTGAATAAGAAGACTGCAGACTCAGAACAGACAGTCACTAATGTTTGATATTACAATAAATGCAACCTAAAAATATGAAAAAAACCGCAACCAATCTTTTGGACATCTATTTATATCCTGAAAATGTGTTACATGTAGATTTTATTAAAAAAAAAGAACTCTAAAACCCACTTTTATAACGTAAGGTATTTTATAGATACCTATACACTAAGCACTACTAAAATTAATGGGTGCAATGATGAAAGCAGTTTCTATATTACTCTGACTATATCGACCGTTCGCTTCGGGTGTTGAATCTTGAATGCTAAAGCAATATTCTGTCTTTTTAGTGAGAAAAAGCAGTAATATCCTTTGAAGTCCATAAAGAGGAAATAATATTGAGGTGTAATCAAACAAAACCGAGCTTTCTTTATATCTATATAAAGGATGTGGAATTAAGTATGTCTACTTTATTAAAGTGAAATATCGTAACAGTGAATAACTCTTTAAAAAATATTCTGATAAAAAAGATTCTAAGATCTGATCTAATGAAAAATCTGATTGTTACTAGCATTCCAATCAAGCATAATCTTGTATAGACGATCTGACATCCGGTATTTTTAGGCTTTTTGTATACTACATTTACAGACACCATTTATCAGTTATTTAATTTTCAGAAAGATCATTCCGTGTTTATATTATCAATTGACTTAAGACGGTTTTTATATTCAAACTTATACTTACATAAAGATACAGTATAATCCCAACTTTCTGCATCATTCTTGTGCACATTAAGTTTATCTGGCTGTAACAAAAAATAAGAACGGTAAGTAAAGAATCAATTTAAAAAGTATTTTAAAGTTAATTAAACATGATATTCTAGGGGTCAGCTAAGGGCCACCGTGGCCTTTTCGATGGGTCCACCCAATTTTTTTATATATTTGTGTGCAGCTGATTACGCATTTCAGGAGTAGATTTTAATGCGAGTGTCAAAAAATTGTTATAAACAATTTAATTGTTTGTAAGGTTCTAGTTTGTAAACAAAAAGAGCTAGACAATTTTTTTCTATCAAATTGTTTCTTAAAACAAAACGTTTAACAAGAAAATAGCGTTTAAATCAATTTATTATTTTCTTAACATTCCTATGTTATAATTAATTTATTATCGACACATTTTGCCAGCCCAAAACTTACCCCATCTCGTGTGCTTACGTCACACGATAAAGCACCAATGGAAAGAGATCAAGTTGAGCAAGAGCACCATACCAATATTATTCCAAGAAAAATTTCTTGGTAATGAAAAAAAAAACAAAACAAACTTAATATCTTCTTCTTCAGCCTTAAGTAATCCAACTTTGGACATAGGCCTCCCCCAAATCAATCCAGTGTCTTCTATTTTGCGCCGCTTACTTCTAGTTGTGTCCTCCGATCTTCTCAATGTCATCAGCCTGCGGTCATCAGCCTCATCTCATTTGCGGTCTTCCCCTGCTTCTCTTTCCTAACCATAGCTTTCATTGTTGTACTTCGTGGTTCCATCTCTTATCCTTCAGTCGGGCATTGTGTCCTGCGAAACTCCATTTTAATTTGGTAGCATGTTCTACTGCATATTTTACTTTAATTTTGCTTCTAATCCATTTGTTTGCTTTTTTGTCTATAAGTCTCACCCCGAGAATTGATATAAAAACTTAATATACCTTCTCAAAAATCTCTATGAGAAGTGGGGTTTAGTGTCGACGAGGCTGAATCTGATGCAGATACAGTCATCATGTGTTCTGCGCTTGCTGCATTCCAAGCCTATGATTCTGTCATTGTCGTAGCAGAGAACATCGACATGATTGTATTGCTCACGGCATTAGGAAGGGTCCAATGTCGTGTATCCAAAGTGTCAAATTTTGTTAAACTTTCAAAAGGATGTAAATCGCTTCAATTATACTGTCCTCTAAGTTTTATATACGGCGACGTCATTGCAGAGTTTGCAATCCTCCACCATGCTTTTTCAGGACACGACACAAGATTTATTAGTAACGTACAAGATCGGAAACTTAAATTCATCTAAATTTTACAAAAACATCCTGAGTTAGCTAGCGGAACAGCCAGTGAGAAAGCCGAGCCATCTTTGCCCACTGTCTTTGGCGAAAATTTTTCGTCTCTTTATATTGTGGAAATAAAGACGATTCTCTAACAGCATGAGATACAAACGATTCGCCAAGACAGTGACCAAAATTACATTTAACTTCCGCTAATACAAGACGCAGCTCGTTTCCACAGTGTTAGAGTTTATCACAAGGAAAAACTGCGATCCTAAAGATTGGGTCTGAAAAAAGCATAGGAAATTTGGATACCAATCAAAACTTTTAAAATTGCAGCATCCCCCGAACTTATACAATAATTTTCTGCAGATGTAAGAGAAACTGTGAAAGTATTTGTGGTTGCCAACAAGTAGGCCTCAAATGATTGCATTGTATCTTAATTGTTCTGGTGAAACCAGATGACTTGTTCTGCACCGACATCATCGAAATATTAAAATTAATTGAAACATTTGAAGATAAATTATCCACAATGACGCCAATTCTAACTTCCGTTCTTTCGCAAATATTCACCTTCGATGCTGAATTAGACTCTGAAATGCAGCCTGGACAATCAAAGAAAATGTAAAAACAAGAGCTTTAAATATATAATTACATATGCTCAATTTTGCCTGGATATTGTCAGTGAATTGACCTGAGTACCACTTAAAAAAAAGCACCTCCAGACTCTACCTCATAGGTGGTTATGAAAAAGGTCCATAATAAACTAATAAAAATCCAACATAAACGTACAATAAAAAATTAAGCCTAATGGTTCGATATTCTTATGAGTATTCAAGAAGTGATTTTACATCACGAGAAAAAAAGTAAGGCACAAAAAACAAAGAAAATTTGTTCAAAAATTTGTTATTTTTATTAATAACTTTTTTATTTTCCATTTTACGATAAAAAAGTAATAGAAAGAAAGTTGTACACAACTTAATTTGCGACAATGCTGTTTTAAATTTTATATAGAGATACTAATTTACGATATACAGCGCGAAGACAGTGTTGCGACTATCGACTACGCAAACACAAAGTGTTTGCGTATCGATATACGCAAACGCAAAAATCGATGTACGCGATCAATTTAATGAGTTACACGCTCAAAATTTTTATGACAAGTATTGTCGCATATGTAAACTTTGTGAGGGGATAACTGGTGATAAACAATTTGGTTTTCAAAACGGTATGGGTACCCAGGAGGCTTTTTTTGCATGCGAATAATCTTACAAAACAGGAATTAATTTAGGAAAAATATTTACGTATGTTTTTCTTCTTCTTCTAGTTCCATGACCGTTATCGATCGTTGGATATCATGTTGGCTACCATATTCGCTATCGTGACTTTATTGACAGCAGCTCTAAATAACGATGTAGTTGATTTTCCATACCATTGCCTTAGATTTTTCAGCCATGATGTTCTTCTTCTACCAGGACCACGATTACCTTGGATCTTTCCCTGGATGATCAGATGTAAAAGATCATATTTTTCAGGGTGTCTCATAATATGACCGAAGTATTCCAGCTTGCGTTTCTTTATTATATTGACCAGTTGTGTTGTTTGGTTCAGCCGGCTAAGGACCTCCTCATTTCTAACTCTGTCGACCCAGCTTATTTTCAGTAGTCGTCTGTATACCCACATCTCAAAGGCTGTCAAGCGTTTAAGGATAGCCTCAGTTCGAGTCCACGCTTCTACTCCATACAGCAGGACAGGAAAGATGTAGCAAGATATCATACGAACTCTAAGGTCAATGCTAAGATCATGACTGCAAAGTACGTTTCTCATTTTTACAAAGGCAGCTCGGGCTTGTTCTATTCGGCTTTTAATTTCTGCGGTTGGATCCCAGCTCTCATTGATATTACTATGTTTTAGATTTCGAACGTATGCTTACGTATGTTTTTAGATTTCGAAAAAGCCTTTGATACAATACAGTACAATACAATACTATTTCAATTAATGGACTCGTATGGCACTAGATTGCTCAAAAATTTTTATTACAATCAGACCGCTAGGATTAAGATGAATCCAGATGTTTCGCTAAAGTTTCTATTAAGCGTGGTGTCGGACAGAGATGTGTTATCTCATCGATGTTGTTTAATGCCTACACTAAACCAGTTTTTGGGAAAGCGCTAAATAATCGTCGCGAAGGTGTTAAAATCGGCGGTAAAATTGTTAATAACATCAGATACGTAGATGACGCCGCCATAATGGCAGAGAGTCTAGAAGACCTTCAAACCCTGTTAAACGCTGTAAACAATAAATTCTTGATAACAAAAATTAAAAATCCTAATAGATTAGAAGCATTCGAATTATGGTGTTACCGTCGCATGCTCAGAATCTCGTGGACAACACACATATTTAACGAACGTGTTCTAGAGACCATGCACAAAGAGCAAGAATTGATCTGCATTATCAAAATAAGAAAAGTCCAATATTTCACCCATCTAAAGAGAGGACCTAAATATCGCTTACTCCGGTTGATCATTCAGAGCAAAATCAAAGGAAAACGCCAGGTCGGAAGAAAGCACCTATCCTGACTGCATAAAATTAGACATGGACAGGTCAAATGGTTGAGGAATAGTTTCATATAGCTGCCGATCGAAAATATACCATCAGCATTTTAATATGACGATAACCAACGCTTGAAAACAATCCCAGCACAAAAAGAAGAGATGTGAAGACCCCTTGCCCTCTTTTTCCAAGATGGTGACCGGGGGACAAGGATGGCTACCCCACAAACTTGAATTTAATCTTATACTAACCACCTCCACACATCAACAAAATAAAATTGCGTCCTCTCAAAATGTGATCTCAATGTAACTTTTCAATTGACTACTATTAGTAGAAAGGTTAAGCCTCTAAGAATTGCACCTTTACTAACATATTAGGATTTTTTGACATAAAAATACTGTAATGTTTGTTTGTCCAGATCGTCAAAAATGTTTGGCTAACGTGAAAATATATTGTTTATAGCCCTATTAAATATATTTAAAGCCCTCGCCTAAATATGGTGATCGTTAATAAAGCTATACTTTCCCCTCGGTCATGTGCTTCTCAAGATTTTCTTTTTCTTGTAGGATCTATACTCAATTATTCATGTTAATAAATGAACTCCTTCATAGTTTTTAGGGTCATTTAACCAGTCTCCTTAACGAACATTAACTTAATTTTCTTCTTTCGACTGAAAACGAGTATTATTTTTGCTATAATAATTTTTAGTCAGTGAATAAAAAAATAACCTTATGAGTTTTAATATTTTATTTGTTATTGAATCTTTTGGAAGTCTTTCTTTTACTTTTCGATTAACGTCATAGATATTAAGTAGATTTAAATAAACATTTTTGTTTGTAATTTTAAATAACAGATCTTATATAGACTTTATTACTTACTTGGGAATTGCTTTAATGAAACTAGTGACATATTTATTCCTTATAAATATATCATCGACTGTTATATGTAATTCAGTGAAAGCGGACAATGCATACCGAAGTGTACGACAACCTCTTTAAAGATATACTTAGACTGGTAAATAATCTGTTATCGACTGATTACATAATTAATTATACTTAAGCTTATTTTCTATATTTAGATAACTCTAAGCCAAAATTAGAAATGTCTTCGCAAACAGGTGCATTAAACTGGCTACTGCATTAAACGTTCTTAACAGTCGAAAGAAAGTACACATCATATTCAACGTAATTACGTGAACCACTTCATTTGTACTTTCCGGATATCTT